TCATCATGGTTTTATTTATTACAAACATATTCTTTCACCATCTATACACATTGAGGCCCTTCTTTTAGGTGAAAATGATCTATCTTAAATTTGTCTTTCTTGAGTTTGGGACTATTATGTGTTTAAATTACTTTACAGGATAAAACTGAAAAAGCCCTAAAAAATGCGCGCCAAGCGCGCAAAATATTTTTGTGTTTTTAATTCTAATTTCGTCGGAATTAATGAAAACTCCCTAAAATGTGCAATTTATCGAGGAAATTGGCCTACCGTAACAAGAAATGCGCGCAAAGAATTTGAGAATTTTAGGCACTTTCAGAGGATGCATTTGTCAAGGGGTGGAGAAAGATTTTCCAAAGATGGATATTTTCCCCTTGTCTCCCGGTGTTTTTAATTATAATTTCGTTAGAATTGATCAAAACTCCCTAAAATGTGCAATTTTTAGAGGAAATTGGGCCATGTTACAAAAAAAAGCGCGAAATTTGAGGTTTTTAGGCACTTTCAGGGGATGAAAGCGCATTTATAAAGGGGTGGGGAAGATTTTTCAAAGATAGATGTTTTCCCCTTGTCCCCCAGTGGTTACGCCATCGGGCAGCATAGATCAAAAGAGTTATGACAGTTTTTGAAGTGGAGAAGGGGTTGCAGGGTGTTGTGAGTCTGGTCATTATGATATCTTCCTTTTTATTCTTGTCTTTATTTTTCTCTTCTCTTTTTCTTTTCCTCTTCTTTCTCTTTCCTCTCCCTCTCCCCTCTTTCTTTTCTCTTATTACCCAGCCCGGTACGACGGCTTGGTCAGCCCGGTAAAAACCGTCAGGTGAGGGGCAGTTCCCATCCCCCCCCCACCCCGCGCCTGTTACGACACTGGCTAACACGCCAATCATCCCCCCAATGAAAAATATTTTTCTACGCCACTGTTTCCACTAGGCGAATTTATTCGCGCGAATCAAAGCGTCGGTTCGCTTCCTGAGCTCTGATTGGTTGCGCATTTTTTCACTTCGCAAAAACTCCGATAGGAATGTGAACGCGCATGCGCATAAACCGACGCTTTCGATTCGCGCGAATAAATTCGCCTAGTGGAAAACCGGCTTTAAATGGACAAGTTTCGATGAGAACTGTACATCCAGATACAAAGAAGATAACAATTCAAATGGACCGTGGCATTGCAAGTCTCATACAAACCATTTTCTATTTATCTTCCTGTTCTAATCTTTATGTAGCTCCCCCTGGACTGGCCGACGAAAACGCATACTTTACATTGCTTGATCATATTTCGAGACTAGGCCTATAATAAATTTAACTGGACGGAAGCTCGATGTGATGTAGTTTGATAACTAAGTTTAAGGCCATGGTGGAATGTGAATTCCTCAAAAAAACCCGTACTGTTTTTACCAACCTCTTCAGTTTAACCCACCAATTTGTTTTTATTGTAGCCTACTATATTTATTAATCTTTGGTAAAAAACCTTAAAACTTGAAACCGATTTCATTTAAATTGTCTAGTTTTTAACAGACCAAATAATTACAATGGACACATAAAGTTCAGTACTGACAAGAGTCATGTTACATGACTGTTGTATAAACCACGTAGTTCGGTGAAAAGCAAAAGAAACAGTATTGCTTTGAAGGTACAAGGCAGCAATTGCATGGGGAAACGTTTCTGGAACGCAATTTGTAAAGTGAAGGTTTAAATGCTGTTTGCCTGGTTAGGTATACACCAAGGAGACATTTATCATTATGAAAACAGCATGTCTATTTTTGCTGAAAGTTTGAAATATCCTTCAACTTATAATTAAGGCACCTTTACAAGTGACTTTTTTTTCTTTATGACTTTTAGCGATTATTAAAATAAGCAAGCCATACTGTATACACATTTTATACATACTGTTTTATCATTCACATTTATTAAAAAGAATGCGAGCCTGGTAAAAACAATAACATTATTTATTCATTTTAGTTTATCTTTTCCAATGCTGACAGAAGAAAATGATTGTGATGATAACAAACAAACAACTGGCCAATCAGAACAGGGCCATGAATACGCACATGTCCCACCAACACATGCGTTTACGTAAGTTTATGCTGTCGTTTTGTGGAATCTTAGCTACAATATCGAAAGGGCTGAACAGTCCACTAATCAAAAGTTGCTATTGGGTAGATATAAAATGAAAAATAAGAAATGAATTGCTGATGCCACCTATTCCAAGCCCTTGTGTTAAGTAAGAAAATATATGATTACGGCACTTATCCTAGATGGACGGAAATAGCATGCACATTTGAATACAATTTTCTTTTATTCTTCTTATTTTTTAAAATTGTGCGATTATTAAAAATATATTTACACTAAACTACTTATTCTTTACCGACTGGGATAGTGTTAGTACCTATTTTTCTACAGGGACCTAATCACATTGTTGCCTAACAACAGTAAGGCGTCTGGGAATTAAATGCGTCCGTCAGATAGGCAATGACTCAGGAAGGTTAATAGCTCAAAATTGCATAGCTTTTCTGCTAAGGATATGGACCCCACAGCCTTCTCTGGCACCGCTGTCACAATTTTTTCACAGCACCCACCCCCCAGTAAGACAGCTTCGTCCTTGATTGTATAACCCACAGCAATTGCAAACAATCTGTTACTTTTGCGGAGAAATAAAATTATGAAATTAGATTATATACTTCAAACTTACATGTGGCCAAAGGTGAATTTATTAATGACTGGCTTAGTTACATATGTAAGTGTAACTATAAACCATAGAAAAGAATCACATTCTGTCACCTAGTTCGGTCAATATATTTTCTAGCTGTGATTTCTTGCGCATTTTCATATTCCAGAAGGTCGTCCAAGTCTTCATCCAGTGTCGCAGTAAGTTCATTCAGAAGGAAATCCACTGCCTGTGGAGGAAGAAAGTGCAGATTGCTCGAGACATGCAAGAAAACATATTTTATTATATAAGACAGCAACACTATATTCTTTTATCCTATATTGATTTGCATACATCATTTTAGCGTCACATGGCTATCATAAATGTATACATGCACAATCATAATTGATTTTGCCATGGTATCATCAAGAATCATAATCTTAATGGATACACGTACATGTCTGGGAGATGACTATAAACACAAAATTACCCCAAGCACTTTCAATGAAGCTACATAAATGTATTGTAGGTCATTTTAATAATCAAATAAAACAATGTGATGAATTTCTTCATGGATATTATACCTATAAGGCAAAATATCTCCAAAAACAAATAATTGCCATTAACTCTGACACTATGACACTCTGATATGTTATGTTATTAACCAAATTTAACAATGTGATAAATTTCTTGAAGAATATGCTGTTTCAAAAATATCTCCGAAAACAAATAATGGATATTAACGCAAGTTAGACATATGGTGAAAACAAAACATTGTCTCTTAAATAATAATAATATTTACTTGATTCAATTTTACAATAGTGACACACACCAGACAATACCTAATGGTGCATAATGTTCTTAATGAAAGTAAAATACATACTCCAGGTATTGAAATACACGCTGCAGTGATGACCCCCTGGAGGTCACACTGTAATGACCAAGAATTCCCTGGGTTAGCTCGTCTGCGCAGACTGGCACATTTACCGACTTGTGCACCGCACAGCCAACACTGGCAAGTCCTCGGAGAATGAACTTTACTTCAAGTCAAGAGGTAGAAATTTTACAACAAGACTCATTTGCATATTATTTCAATTTGGTTTTATCCACAGGTGTTCACTTCCATTGTTACTTGTGCAGTATTGTACACATTTTAAAAAGGTGTGTTTCTGATCAATGCAATTATAGCTTGTTTAAAAATGCTTTGTACTATAACCAAATTTTAATTGTATTTTCCAGATCATTATAAAATATTTTATGCAGTCTTAATCATTGCACATTTGTAATTTTTATATTACTATTCTTTGACTTTACTATTTGCATATAACCGCCCATTGAATCCAAGCTCTCCCTTACTCTAGCAGGAAGGGGAACCTCAATGCCGGGTCATATAGTGGGGCCAATTACATTAAGACTGGGGTCTAATGAGTACAATGAGTTCCTATGTTTAGCTCCAATAAATAATGAGATGCTTTTGGGTGGGGATTTTCTCATTCTGAATGAAGCAGTAGTCTGGCCCAACCTGGTCTAGTGACTTTGGTCCAAGCTGAAGCAGGCCAGGGTAATCTTTTAGCCGGGCCTTCACACTCCTTGCAGATAGGAAGCTGTTCCTGTACCCTGGGAGTGCAGAACGGAAAATGGGCAATAAAATGGTCCACGGATACTTCATTCGGACTTGCATCCTGTTAAGAGTGGTGAGGATTCGTCATCTACTGCAGCCCTTTTACAGGAAGATCTGCTCCCTCTGAGAGCAGGGATTCGAGGTTGGAATTTGGACATTTATCCCAAGACTTCGGCTCCAGTAACACTGGACTTAAATAAATCGAAATAGATAGACCTGTCCGTGTCAAAGGCTGTATAATTATTGTTTAACGGCTATAAAATTCAATTGATTAACTATAATTTTTTGAAATTATGAAAAACAGTAATCTGTATGTATATACATACGGGTCATAATAATATCGTTCTAGTAGAATAAATCGTTTATAGTAGAAAATATGCACTTTTGAGTTTGTAAAAATATTGGCCTAATAAGTTTACACGCTTCCAATTTTAACAATGTACAGTACATCGTTTTCACAATAAATTTAGCCTCTGATAACCGTTGCACCTATAAAATTGACATAGTGGTTACTGAGATGGTTACGAAATGTACAAAAATTTCCGTTTTGGTGAAAAGTGGGGGTAGGGGGAACAATTGATATGATGTCCCCCTACTTTGAAAAGTTGGGGAACGTGTCCCCCACCAGTCAACGCCCATGATTCTAACAGTGATTTGCGCGGCGGCCTTGATAAATGCTGATTGTAATGTTGTTCTTCTCTGCGCTATTTTATAGTTTTTTTTTTGTATTATTGTTGATAAACAGTCATTGCACATGGCATCCAAATAAGGAATACATATAACCTAATAAGGGAAGCATACATCCAAATAAAGGATGCATGCATCCAAATAAGTATATGTTACAATTTAATTAGCATAGAGTATATGAGTGCTCAGAGTTAATTATTATGAAACAAAATTAAAAATGTTAAAAAGCAATTTCCTATTATAAACTAAAAATAAAGGATATTTTTGAATGACTGATTTGAACAAAACAAACCAAACAACAATTAAATTAATCTAACAATAATTTCAAGTAACATTTTTAATGTATTATACTAGTTTCACAGGGAAGAGACAAATTTTTTTTTCATGGATAGGCCTGCTATACTATGAACATTAAAATTTAAAGATGAGGAAGAACAAATATGACAAAGACAAGCCAAACTACATTCTTCCTAAATTTAAAGATATATCACTTAATTTGAATGGTGATATTATTGAAAGAGTTGATTCTTTTAAATACTTAGGTGTAACTTTTGATCCTGTACTAACTTGGAAAGACCACATAAATAAATTATCTTCAAATTTGTCTAAGCGTATTGGTGTCATCCGCCGTATAAAATACCTACTTCCACCCCATACTCTTAAAAATACTTGCTAAGTCCTTAGTATTACCTCTTTTTGATTATTGTTGTTGTGTCTGGTCAAATTGTAATGTTCAATATTCTAATTGTTTACAAGTTCAAATGAACAGATTATGTAGAATTGTTTTGTCTGTTGATATTTATACTTCCGTTGATGTTATGTTAAGTTCACTTGCATGGAAATGACTACATGTCAGGTGGAATGAACAGATAGCCTTAATGACTTTTAAATGTTTAAAAGGGTATGCGCCATCTTATTTATCATCTAAATTTAAATTTAATATCGAATCCCATTCAAAATGTACACGTAGTCAATCTCATAATAACCTTTTTGTACCACAATGGAATAACTGTCAAGGCAAGAGAACTTTTTTGTATCGTTCAACAAAGTTGTGGAATGAACTTCCACACGAAACAACAACGAATTTCATGAACATGTCTATTATATTTTTTAAAAACTCTTTTAATTCTTAATCACTTTTATTATGATATCTATTTATATATATGTATGTTTTTTAATTACTTTTCTTTTAACTCTTGTATTTTATGAAACTGTACCACTTTGAAAAACAGTACACAAGTACTGAAAGTGCATGCAGTAGAAAGACAGAATAAATAAAATAAAATACATAGGCATCGATGAGACAACTTGACAGTAATTTAGTTTGTTGGCAACCCTGTCCAGCCAATTGAGTGTTTTTTTTCCTCTCTGTTATTATGTGTTTGTCAGTTTTATTGTTCTTTGGCCTAAATAAATGAAATGAAACTTGTATAGCTAAAAGATTGAAAAGTATGAGGTCAATTGGATATTAAACCACTGGGAGTAATCTCTCACTATCATATAGAGAGCAGGGTAGCTTATTCAGTTAAAATAGTGAAGTTCCAATGTTTGGGATTTATTCCAAAACTTAATTATTTTTTTTTTCTTATTTTGTTTCTTCCTTTAGGATGTATTAGTTAACAGTATCACTACAGCATATGTGAGTACTGTTTTAGCTGGTCATGTGTCTCAAGTTGCTGGAGAATAGTGCTTGGTTTTGTACCTATATTGATTATTTTGGTAAATTCTGGTTTACTTTTAGGATAATTTATGGGTTACTTTACTATTTTTTATTTTGTTTAAGCACTTTGAAATGATTTGAAATTGTTGAAGGTGTAATACAAGTCAATTTCCCAGGGGTGGCGCCCGTCAGGAAAGTATTACCACTCGTAGGGGGAATCGGCCACCCTCGTCGGGGACCTCGCCCCCCCACCCCCTGCAGTTTCCATTTTCCATTTGGTAGTCAGCTCAACTTCATCCCTGCTCTCCTTGTGTTTCAGCTAGAGTGCTGAAATTCAAGTACAAAAAAAGTGTTCCGTCTTTTGGACGACACATCCCATAGTCCCATGTGATCTATGGCCCTCGTGCATGTTAAAGAACGTAGTACACTCTTCAAAAAAGAGCAGGGGATTGTCTCCCTGTGTACTGCCCAATCACCACAACAAAATTGTTTGTGTGTCATTGTGAACTAGACGACAGTGATAGTTGAAAGGTCAAAACATAAGCAAGCATTATCCAGAGATTTAATCTAACCATTAATAATAAAATTAATAATCTTCTTATTTAAAAAAAAATTATGAGTAACTTACACAATCTGTAGTTGTATTTTCATGGAACCTCTTCAAGGGCAATACATTACATGACCTTTGACCTTCAGCTGACATTAAGTGAAAGAGCTGCGTAAATTCACTGCCTAAAATATCTTACATGCAAGAAAAACATGTGTAATATTTTAATACTGTGAAATAAAATATATAAATATGACATACAATAATAAAAATTAATGGGGTTTAGTACTAGAGAGAGATTTTGTTGATGCTTGTTCAGCTTGTTAAACCTGGCAAAAAATAGTCAGGGTAATAAAACATTTATGAACGTATTATTGTCCAGTGCCCTTTTGGATGTGATTTTAATTTTTAATTTTTTTTTTTGCTTGTTAATATAACGCAATTTAGTTCTTACTACAATGTTATATTTGTCAATTCTTTTTTAAACCTTTGCATTATTTCTATTTGCATTTTTGTTGTGAAAGTTTTAATAATACATACCACGAGAATGAATGAATGAATGAATGAAAACCATATTACTAATACTTGAGTAGCAAAAAATGACCTACGACAATTGAATCAATCAAATTTATACACTATATTTACATATGTATTCATGTGAACATGCTTGGTTAAAGAACCAGACAATGAACTGGTGCAGACAAGAAAATTAACATGGAAATACAAATGAATATACAGTAAAATCAAATAAAACAGAAGTCATCCAGTTTATCCATCATTTGCAATAGAGTACAAACTATTCTCGTTCATGTGATCCCTGACCCCAATTCAATAAAATGAAGATTGTTGTCTTTTTGAGAACATCGTTTTTTATTTTCTAATAAAGGTTCATGTAAGGCCCTCTCCCTTGCATAAACCTTGTATTTTTGTAACAATTGTAAAAACTGGATAACCCCTGAACTAAGATAAATAATCACAACACATAATCCAGAAAACAGAGAACCTTTACACTTACTATCCATTAGCATGTCTTTAACTTCTGAGTCATTCCAAACATGTCTGTGATTGGCTAATTTCTCAAGAAGATGATCCAACTGCAGACCATCTATAATCATGTCAGTTGTGAGTTGAGATATCTGATTAAAAAAAGAAAATATGCTAACATTTCTCCGTTGAAATTAATTTTTTTTATATTTTTTAAATTTCATTTCTCTCAAGAAATTGCGGCTTGACCTCTGGGGACTCACAGCGGCCATAATCATGCACCAGTACCATGTCTGTCTCCGAAAAGCCAAGTGAGCGACTTCAATTAAAATCCGTTGGCCGGGTTTAAACCTGGGTCTGCAGCATAAGAAGCAGGAACAACTCCAAAAGAACATCCAATACTGTTTGTAATGGTAAATAATTCTAAAGCTTTAAGCTACCTCTTGGGAAATGTAAGCACTATAAAGCTACGTTCACATCAAGCCTAGATCTGGTCCGAAGCCCGGACAAAAAAATCGTGAGTTGCTACGTTTTTTGAATGCTGCGTTCACATCGCGCATGGAACATGGTTGTTCAGGTTAAGTATGTATGCGTTCAATTGGTTTGAACCAAGCAAGCTTGTTGCTGATTGGTCCAAGAAAAAAAAACGTACGATTTCAGGATACAAATGGCTCTCAGATCCATCAGTCCAGATCTGGAGTCATGATTGAAAATCGTACGAATTTGATGTGAACGGTCCTATTCTTTACCACTGAACCCATTTTTCATGATTTTTATTCGAAGTCATCAATATTTGCAGTCAGCAGGTTCGCTGAATAAGGTATAAAAAAAAACTCGCCCAAGCTACAGTAGGTGAATTAAGGCTAAAAAATTTTGTGAAACCACTTTGCACTATGTGAAATTTTACCTGTTTGGTGTTCAGGATTTTTTCCCAGGCTTCAGTCATTATATAGGTTAGTAATTGCATGTTGAAGTTTTATTAGGTGCTCTGTTAGAAGTTAATATCAATTTTCATTAATATTTATTAGAATGTTTTTTTATGCTGCAGTTTTAGAACAAAATTAAAGCTATATTTAATTTAGTGACTTTGAACCTGATGGATTCAAGCTTATAAAATTAATATGTAAATTAGGCAGTTGGGCAGCATTGTGTTGGTGGTTTTAATTATCCGATGGTCAATTGGGATATTAATTATCGAAGCAAGTTCTAGTTTTTTATTTTTAGACATTTTTATGACTGACTATAAGTAATATACTGATAATTATAATAATAAAGTTCTAAATCGTTCTGAAATCAACAGCAACAGCGGCGGAACATTTTTTAAAGTGGGGGGACCATTACATATGCACCAGTATGCAAGTGAAGCGAGCATCTGGGTGGGGGTCCGCCAAGCTAGGGGCTTTGCTCCCTGGAAGTTACAGATATTTGACAAAGTTTGGTGAATTTTATCAATTATTTTATAGGCATCAAGCTACTGTAATATGACTTCATAATTGTTGTAATTTCCAGTGACGAATCCAGGAATTCTAAATAGGCCTAGAGGGGCCTGGGGTTTACTTTGACAGATAGAGGTTACCTCAGCCCCACCATGGTTGGGGCTGAGGTAAAAAAATTTGTGATTATGGCACCTCTAGATGGCCGGAAATTGCACTATCACACTTTATATAATCAATATGCTCATAATGATAAAAATTATATATTAACAAGTCAATACAACAATTATTTTTTAATTTAGGTGGGTGCTACATAGCACTATAAATATAACATAAACAAATAAATAATCCGCATATATCCGTGCTCCGCACGATGTTGGATGAGTGGGGAGGTGGCGATGCATATTGTTGAATGTTATGGGAAGTCGTTAGCATGTCATTATTTTTCTAAATGACGTCTTTGTAGATAATGTCTTTTTAGTGTCTTTCCTGAATAGTCCTTGTGAGGAATTATTGTCTAGTTTGATGAAGGGGGGATCCAGAATTTTTCAACCGTGGGGGGTGGGGAACAACAGCTTTAGAATAGATTTGAATAGCACATAACATATGCATTGAAATTTCAAAAATTTAGTGGCAAAACGGGGATCCGCCCCTGTTCATGATCCGACCTGTTTTCGTAACTTCGAGATGTTGATTGGTGGAGGTAGCTTGACCCTAAATTTAAACTTCAGTGTCGCCAAAATCAACCTGGATTCGAGAGAAAGAGCCTGGCCTAGGGCGCCCTAGCTATAGATGCTAGCTAGTAGTAGGCTAGGCCTGTCTGTAGCAGCGTAGCCTGGGCTAGGCTAGCAATAGCCGAAATTCTTAGGCCCGTTTTTTTGCCTATCTTATAATACCATACCTTGTGCCCAGGCGTTTTTTGAGGCATATAAGACTACAGTAATAATATATCCAGTATACAACAGGTACTCCGTGCTGGTGTGCGGGAACATGCTGCTCATATATTTTGTTGACGTGACCATGAGACATGCGTGGTGAGGCAATGAAACTGCGAGACAGACTGTTTCTTTTACGGTCTGATGCAATATTTTTAAAATCTGAGCACTGAGGTACAGATTAACAGAGGGGATTTACTTATGTGACGTATGCGACTCGCGAAACATGGCCAAACAGGTACAAATTTTCTGTGGTTTTTTACTGTTTTTTGCGTTGTTATCCAATATCCAGCCTTGAAAAGTAGCGGAATATGGTCGTGACATATAGAAGCCCCAGTGTATGAGATATGAGCACATTCCTGCCAGCGGTTTCAGAGGAGATATGTGGAGTTACGCGGTGGTGATTAGCAGAATTAATGTATAGATAACCGTGCTTGGATTGGAAGGTAAAGTGCTATAATCGTATCAAAAAAAGCCCTTCAGCAGAAAGTTTCTATTTTCAGTTGTATGAAAAAAAGTGTCTCTGGTATCAAGTCAAGTATTATAATGTTAGACCGCAAAAAGCTAAACAACATAGGCATAGATTAAAACCCTTTTAAAACACTTTCTCTCACACAACTTAATTTGTTTTCATTCGAGCACTGTTATTATTATTTATCTATTTATATGGTGCTGCATGCAACAAACCTATTATTATAATTACCTAGCTACGACCTACAGGTAGTTTCTAGCCACAGCTCCACTGTGTGTGAGCATAAAAGATTTTAATATGCCTTGAATGAAAGAATTCAATCCATAAATTAATGAAATCCACAGCGATGTTGTTAGTCTGTGAGTGAGATTCCTGGATAAGGCAATACAGTTGAACTTGCTTAAGTCGAATCCAAAATGCCATTGAAATATTGTTTGACTTAAATAAAATTCAACTTACAGATTGTTAATTAATGGAAAACACAACAATTTGGCATGTAAAATTAGACCGACTTAGAAATTATTTGACTTAGGCAAAGTTGACTTAGGCAAGTTTAACTGTAAACACCTAATTTCCTAGTGGAACCCCCATGCATATGATAAACAAAAGAATTGCTCACTCCGTGATACATGCCTCGAGGATATATAGGCCTACATTATACACAACCTGAGGATACGTAGGCCTACATTATACACAAAATGATGATATGTGGCCTACATTATACACAACCTGAGGATACGTAGGCCTACATTATACACAAACTGATGATATATAGGCCTACATTATACACAACCTGAGGATACGTAGGCCTACATTATACACAAACTGATGATATGTATGCCTACAGTACATTATACACAAACTGAGGATATATATAACATTCATGTTTCCTGTTCACTGTTGAGTGATAGAAGGATGGAAGCTTACCTATTCAAGCTATTAATTACATTGTCTTTTTTATTTTCACGAAAGATTTATCATCAATTATTAATGCTACAGAAAATGTCAAAAGCAACATTATACATACAAATTAAAGCTTAATATTTTATATCAATGTTATATTCAGCAACACAATTTATCACAAATTGTACAGATGATGTCAAAAAGCACTTTACAAACAGATTATATTGTAAAATACTGTAGAAGAAATGGGCACTCCAGGCTGTGACTTCTGAGTTCCCAATTTGGTTTGACAATGAACCATGGGGCCCAGAGGAAAGAAAATGTTCGGGGTCTTGTGTCAGCAAAATATTTTCGCTCACAAACTGCCTAGTTGTGGATATGTACCAACTGAAAAAAATGTCATTAAGTATTCAACTTTTGAGTATTCAACCATAAATCAATTAATGTGCACTGTCATTCATTTTATATTGTTTAGTATTTGACATTGGCCAAAGCCACTTTGAAGCTCCATATATAGTTTTATATTTATATTCATTTATAAGGCACCATTCATAAGTAAAAGGTGGACCAACACTGAATGAAGGCTAGGATTCAGGGCCCCTCGGTGTCCCTTTTGACTGGGAGCCTAGGTGTTTTGATAGCATCTTGTTTATTTTTCGCAATCTACAGAAAGCTAGCATCTGTGTTATCCAAATTCATACCCACTGAAAATTAATTTGTTATAGCATTATAATAAAGAGTATTACGAATTATATTACTCTTGATTTGAATAAATAATTTAATTAATAATATCAAAGAGTATAGAGCTCCAAGAGGTTCAACTTTCGGGGGTTTTGTTGAAATGCAAACCTATCTCGGAAAATACTACCACAACTTTGTGGTTGTTTTTTTAAAAGAAGGTAAATGGCATTTGTATTGAACGTGTGCTGCGTCTATAGAACGCATGCTTCAGGTTCAAACTCTATTCAAATTCAAACGGGGGGGGGGAGGGGGCTGTCTTATGATAATAATTTGTTTGTTGTTTCATTGCCTGAATTCATAATCAGGACAGTCGGACATCTTGCAATTCTATACTCTTTGGTAATATCCATAAATTGCAATCAAAAAAATTTCATAAACTCACCTGTTTATTATTACTTTGGAACACAGCTTCCAGTATGCCGCCTGATCTCATTAATTCTTCAACTACGTTAAGCACCTGTGCTGAAAAAAGATCTTTATACACTTCTTCTGAAACTTCACTATTAAGAGCTTCTGTTAATATTCCAGAAACCTGCTAGAATAAAAATTTTATGAACATTTATGAAAATCAAAATAATAGAATTAATTACTAATAGTACAACAAAAAGTTAATGATATGCAATTATACCATTACGTTTTTGTACAAACAATATAGAAAATATATGAAGACAGAGCGGCATTTTATGAGTCTTTGCTAAGAAATTGTACTGTACTGGGTAATGTTTTTATATGCATTTATGACTTAGGCTTTCCGCAGCACTTACAATTTCTCCGATAATTTCTCCGATAAATTATCTTCAAATTTCAAAATTATGGTCAACGGTGCATTTGTGTTCAACATCAAAACATCCGTTTTGTTGACCAAGCAGGTGACCCTTTCAAGCACTAAGTCAATATAGTACGGCAGCTTAGGGCCACATTTGGACTTAATGTGGACGTTCCGGACAAAAGCACCAATTTTTTTTTACATGCTCCTTATGGTCATAGCATTCAATTTTTGGTAGGAACCACCTCATCCGAGGTCATTATGGTGGCCATCTTGGATTTCAAAATGGTAGCCTTATAAAACCTATGTTTATCTATATCTCCGCTTCTAAATCACTTTGAATTATAATTGTAATGTCTAAGAGTATGTTTATATGATCGAGGAATACCAATATCATATTTGACCTGGTCAGATTGCCACAAATAGGTCATTTAAGGTCAAATATTGTATGGTATCTTTAAAATTACGTAATTGTCAAATTTTACATTAGAATCATACCCAGGCTCTCAGAATTCAAAAATTTTACTATGAACTACAATATTTCATTTGAGGTCATTCTGGCGGCCATCTTGAATTTCAAAATGGCTGCCACGCAAAAACTATATTTATCACTATATCGACTTTTAAACTACTTCTAATAAGAATTATGATGTCTAAAAAATATATTTTCATGGTCAATGATTTATAGCACTTGTGACATGGTCAGATACCGTAGTCATTTAAGGTCATTCAATTTCATTTTTCTGTTAAATACGTAGAATATCTTAATAATTTGTAAGTG